GGAAAATAAAATTGAACCCCGCACCTTTCCACCCACACAGCAAGACCTTTCATAACTTGCTTTCAACATAATCTGGTAACATGCAATCTGTCAGAGAAACCGTCGTTTCCGTGTTGACGTTCCCCTTCTACTTGACACGATTCCAGAATCAGGAGAGCAGAATCTTGTTAATTTTTCATGCCCACCTGGTTCAAATCAATTGTGAGGAATAAAAGACGTCAGATGTTTTAAACTCTAACCTGGAGTATTCCCAGGCGATATACAGTGTATTTTAGTTTTGGAGTATAATTCTTGATTCTTTAAAAGGAAAATTAGTTAAGAGGGTAGGCTTTTAAAAAAATGACATGACTATTTACATATGTTTACGCATATTTATGTCTTAACATTTACACTCAAACGTGTACACGAACAAAAAGAATAGCAACTTTGGCGTGAATATTATAATGGCATCTTAAAATCGATCAGACAATTCGGAGATGATAATTTTTCTTCTTAATGCAAAATTAATTCCTTCTGAGCTCTCGAAAAAACATCACTGTACTTGGCATAGTGCGGGGACATTCTGTTCCTCTTTTTTTAATCCCTTGACAAAACACAACAAGATTCTAACAGGAAAGGTGGCGAAAACAAGCATAATGAAAAACTTAATTGGAGTGCAACCTTTTTTTTTTTTTTTTTGGTAGCACCTGATGGGTCATTGTGAGTTTCTACTGCACAGGGATAGAATTAAACAATAACAACAAGTAAATGCTGGTCAAACAAATGTAAGCTTGAGAAATGTCAATTTCTCTCTCTCTCTCTCTCTCTCTCTCTCTCTCTCTCTCTTTGAGAAAAGAGAACAACACAGACAAAAACACTTGAATCCGAAATACATGCCTACTTACCGCTGTTGGTTTTACGAGATCTCCACAGCTGAATCCGAGATGATCTAGGAACTTTAATAAGGAGGAGAAATTTATGCAATTAGAAAGGGAGGAAAAGGGGAAAAAAACAACAACAAAACAACGACCATAAACAAATATATTTCCTTTTATAAAAATAAAATAAAAGACTTTAACTGTTTCAACTGGACAATCAGTCTATAGATGAACGAGTTTTGGCTATACAATCTGGAAATCAACGCAGTCCCCGTTTGTCTGTTCGGTACACGAATTTAGCTGAGCCACTGATTAGATTCTGCAAGTGTCATAAATATTTCAGATAAAAGAACAGTTCCAAAACTTTTTTTCTTTTTTACCAAAACGTTCACTTTCTTTTTACACACGTTTTACGTCTCTTTGTATCCCCTCGTTTGATTTCGTCTCTTTGTTGTTTCTGCTCCTGTCCAGAAAGTGTTCCTTTTCTTTTCCCTCTTTTTTTTTTCTACCTGACACATTCACGTACTCCACACCTTTGCTGTTCCCGTGGCCAGCTCGCCCTCTGTTGTCGCAAAGGTGCAGTTCGCAAAGTTTACAAGAAACAGTTTACCCCAACCCCCAGCTCCGCTCACCACCCCCATCTAAACCCCCGTGTGTGTTTGTGGTGTCCCTCTCTTATGTGATTTGATTCTCTCTCTCTCTCTCTCTCTCTCTCTCT